ATAGTGCCTCGTATTTATGTCCCCCAGACGGAGCAAACAGTCCATTCGCGAAAACTTGCCTTGGGGACTAATAAATCGATCCTAATATCTGACTGTTTTCTTGCATCAGACGGATCGCACAGCTTTGAACGCTACACTCTCTCTCATTTGCCCAAATTTAACCTCTGCAACAAAGAGTATGGCGACAAGAAAAAAGAGCTAAGGAGTATCATGAATATGTTTAAGTCACTCAATGAAGATTTAAAAAAGGATCGCACGAGACATAAAGCGGAGTTGGCAAGCAAGCACATGTGGACAGAAATTAAAAAACTTCCCCACGAAGACCAGCTGATAATTAAAACTTAGAACACGCTTCCGGTCACATACCACACACTTTAGCGTGTGAGTATTGCTGTATTGACCCTGTTTGGGTCCTATGTATGCATGTGAGCAGTCATTCTCACATCTTAGATACATCAAGTCCACCATACGATCACGTCTAACGGATGACAGCCTCAACGCTAGCATGAAGCTTAATTTCACCAACTACCGACCAGAATATGGAACTATCAGCGAATCCATGCAACGCCAAAAGTCACATTAACAAAGAGTATTATAAGAAAATTATTTTAAAGAACAAATTCAAAGGCTTATTATACTCGCATTTAATTGAATTTCATCTAAAAATATACTTAATGACTCGCTGAAGTATGTTTCCAAACATTTGCTTTCTTGGCTCTCTGAGTTAAAAAGGTTGCCAACCCCTGCTCTAGGTATTTATAAAAGAAACACTTGCACATTTTTATGATATATATAACCCTGAGGGGCATATGAACGAGGTACATTTCCACAGGAAAACGGGACTTACTCTCAAGTCACCGTCCGTGCTCCACAATAATCTCGAGCAGACAATAAACTTTATCGAATACGACTATCGAGCTGCTTGTTCTAACAAGAAAAGTCATGGTAGCGGCAGTGGGGTTTCTATTAACAGTCATCGTAGTCTTAGCAGTCGCATTAGCAGCAGTTAAATTGTCAAATAAATATTATTATTAGTGTTACTTGTATTTCGAGTGGTAGTAGAAATCGTAGTTATAATATAATTCGTGGCAGCAGCAATAAAAATAGTATTCAGGACGGAAAGTTAGGCGAACGAACGTTTTCTATAAATCCGTAATCAGGCAAATACAATAATATAAGATAGGGTACAGTTAACGAAAGTTTAAACAACCAATCAGTAGAAATTAGAGGGAAAAGGGGGAGATGTGTAAAGGGATTAAAGGGGTCAGATTCTAGTCTTAATTGGGGACCAGAGAGGGAAAGGGGCGGGGAAGGAGGGGAAGAGAAGGGGTCCGACATTTAATTCATCTAGTCCCGTTGTCCTTGGCTCGCGTTCCCCCAGCTTTCCCCTCTCTGGTCCCAATTAAGACTAGAATCTGACCCCTTTGATCCCTTTACACCTCTCACCCCTTTCCCCTCTAATTACTTCTGATTGGTTACTTAAACTTTCATTGACTCTACCCGCCGTTATATTATTGTATAAGGCTGATGATGAATTAATCGAAAATGTTCGTTCGCCTAACTTGACTTCCTGAATGCTTACATGGGTATCATCGCTGTACTTAAAAAAAATAGTATGGATGGAATCAGTAACAGTAGTGTTAGTTGTAGTAGTATTAGTAGGATTTGGCATAGCAGAAGTAGTGATAGCAATAATAATTGTAATAGGAGTAATAGTACGAGTCATGGGAATAGTAGTGGGCGGCATATTATGGGTTATTTTGTCGTAGTTCAAACAAAAACGGGAGAAACAACACAAACGGCTGCGATACTATTTCCAACAGTAGAAGTACAAGTACCGGTGGTTGTGGCACAAACAGTACCATTGAAAATAAATATAGCAACCTTAAAAGGTGGTATTCACCCTTTACACTGACTACTCAAGCGTGCGATCTTTGATCAGCGTTCTTCTGCAAGCCACATAAGAACCGTATAGACTTGATTTATTAAAATCCGTTACAAAAAATATACTTGCACATTTTCGATGAAGTATAACCCTGATTGGTATGTGAAAGATTACATTTTTACAGGAGAACAAGGAACTTACTTTAAACCTTCGTCCCATCAGTATAGGCACATTTGGGTCCTTAGTTGACAGCAGTAGACGCAAATTTTCAACAATGACGTAAGTGTCGTCATCGGCCTTCATAAAAAATTCAAAGTCGTTGAGGTGATTCCTGTAGGCGTTAATAAATCCAAACCGCGTCTTCAGCCAAAGGTGTTTTCGTGACTCGTTTTGAACAGCCTCTATAAAGGGAGATGAACATCAGGACTTCAGTTTACTTTGAAGGAAAAATTTTTAGGCGCGTGCGCTTTTGGAATTTAAGGTCTGAATCAGGCGCCTTCGAGGAGGAATGTTGCGACCATGCCGATACGAGAGATTGCGTTGAGAAAGGAGAGGAGTAATCGATAAGTAGCGCTGTCACCCTATATATATATATGTGGGCTTCGCCGATCTGGTAGATGAACTATTAAGTTCCGCTTCGCTTAGGAGCTCACAATTAAGGCCCGCGTAGGCAGTCACATAGCGACTATGAGGATATGATGAAATGGATCCGAGAAAGCAAAGAGAGACCAGAATGGCCGTTTCTGGCTTGATAGTCGTCATCAGCCAGTTATAGCCAATCTGAAGGAATGGAACCCTCGGGATTCGAACCCGGGACATTTGGTCATTGAGTTTAATACTCTACCTTGGCACCACGGGCTCGTTGGTTTGTCGGTTTAGATCGGGAATATCATGAATAATCTGGTAGAAGAACAACTAAGTTCCGCTTCGCCTAGGAGCTTGTAACGGCTAAAAAGCCAGAAATGGCCATTGCGGTCTCCCTTTGCTTTGTCTGATTCATTTCATCATATCTCCATAGTCGCTATGTGACTGCGTACGCGGGCTCTACTTCTGAGCTCCTAGGCGAAGCGGAACTTAATTTTTCCTCTACTAGATCGGCGAAGCCCATATATTCATCATATTCCCGATCTCAACCGACAAAGCAACGAGCCTGTGGTGCTGAGATAGAGTATTAAACTCAATGTCCAAAGGTCCTGGGTTTGGATCTCGAGGGTTTTAA